TAGCAAGTGAACTTAGTAAACAAATTTCAATGCAGCTTTGTTGTTCCCTAATCTTGGCTGTGTATAGATTGTAACTCTTAAGAAGGTATAAACACTTTTGCTTCTTAAAAAAATATGGCTTGCAAAAGAAAGCCACCCGCCACTTCTGATGATAAAAATGAAAAGACACTGCAGATGTTTTAAATTAAATGATAATTCTTGGGGGCTATCCAGAATTGACAAAATTGCAAGGACTGGGCAGATGTTAACCACTGGCTTTTGAAGATTTCAGCTAAAAGCTAAACTATCAGTTTCTACAATGGCTCATGTCCACTGATAAATTCCACATTATATTTCTTTTTTTTTTTTTCTGTAATGCCAAGGGTCAATCGGTCTCAATCTCAGTAGCTGTCTGTGTCTATGTCTATCTGTCTGTCTCTCTCTCCAATGAATTTGCAAATCTACCTCTATACTAAGGTCTCACAATGTATCTCTCCATAATGTCAACATTCCATTGTATTAAAGTGTTTTTAGAAATATGGAATTAGTTTGTCTAACATTGAGTCATGATATATTCTGAATTCAAAGGGCTCCAAACAGTTCTATTTTTAAATTTTAAAATACTGGAGTAAGAACACAGCATTGTTTTTTAAATCTATGTAAACATGTCAATTACAGAAGCTAATTTATTCTCTTAATATTTCATGCTTCCAATGAAAAGCACATTATGCTTTTACCGGCTTCTTCTGGAAAGTTCCTTATTGAAATCATCACCAAGGCGAACTTGTTCACTGCTGAGGTCTCGGAGGGACTGATGAAAAGCATGAAGCTAGCAAAGACAAAACATAATTATCCACTTAGGATTCTGTTAAATTGTTCCACAAAGATTCACTAAAGGTAAGAATAAGATCTTGTTCTTTGCAACAATAATCAAGTTCAATAATGTTATTAAGAAAAGATGAAATGGGCTGGCCCGGTGGCGCACTGGAGAGTGCGCCGCTTGGGAGCGCGGTGGCGCNACAAGATATAAGTAGTAAAAATTATATTTTTTCAAAAGCAAAAGAAGGATGAATATGAAAGTCAGGATAGTGAATATCCCTTGGGAAAAAAGGAAGCATAAAATAGGTTTGGGAGTATGATAATACTCTATTTCTTGGCCTGCGTGGTGGTTACATGGTGTTCATGTGCATTCTCTCTCTCTCTCTCTCTCTCTACATACACACACACACACACACACACACACGCAGTGGACTGAATGCCCCCCCCAAAGTCATTAAAGCTTAATCCCCACTATAACTGTTGACGGTGGGAAATCCTATAATGGGAGTTTATTGGAAACTAGGGCAAAGATCACCCTTATTATGAACTTGCAAGGAACTTGGCTGTATTTTGTTCATGCCCAAAAGTTTTACAGAAGAAATGTGGAAGGTGCTGACCCAGCATACTTGGCGAAAGAAATTTCTAAGCAGGAAAACATTCAGGAAGCTTCATGGCTTCTTGTAACAGCCTATGCTGAGTTATGGCAGCAAAGGCATGACATAAAACCAGTATTTATAATTAAAAGGAAAACAGAGCATAAAGATTTGGAAAATTTGCAGCCTGGCCATGTGGTTGAAAAGCAGAGAGCATTTTCAGGAGAACAATTCGATGGTGTAGCCCAGTGACCGTTTGCTAAGAAGATTAGTGCAGAAGAAAAGGATGATCAAGAGAAGGGAAAAAAAGACTGTGAAGGCATTTCAGAGATCTGGGAGGCTGTGTCTTCCGTTACAGGCCCCAAGGCCTAGAGAGACAATATGGTCCCAGGGAAGAGGTCCCAGGAGCCCTCCAAGAGCTCACTGCCTAGGACCACCTCGGGAAGCTGCTTCTAGCACCAGCACCCCAGCTGCTTTGGCTGCTTCAGCCATGGCTAAATTGGTCCCCGGTGTGGCTGGACCCACAGCTTTGAAAGATACAAGCTGGAAGCCCTGGAGGCACCCACATGGTATTGTTTGTAGGCTCTCAGAATGCGTAACTGGGGAGGCTTCAGAGTCTCCAACTCAATTTCAAAGGATGTATGGAAAAGTCTGGGGACCCAAGAAAAGATACATAACAGAGGTGGAATCACCAAAGAAAGCCTTTACTAGAGCAATGCCAATTGGAAATGTGCGGTCAGAGCTGTAGAAGAAAAACCCAACCAAGGCCATGCCTAGTGGAGCCATGGGAGCAGGACCACTATGGAGACCCGAGAATTGTAGATCTACCAGTGTGCAACACCAGCCCGCAAGAACTGAAGCACAGCCTCAGACCAGGAAAGCCACAGAAGCGGAGCTGCCACACCAGCATGCAGAGGACATTGAACATGGAGTGAAGGTACATAATTCACTAGCTGTAAGATTTAATGCCTGCCCTGCTCGGTTTCGGACTTGTTTAGGACCTGTTACTCCTTTCTTTTGGCCTATTACTCCCTTTTTGAATGGGAATGTGTACCCTATGCTTGTCCTGCCATTGTTATGTTGGAAGGAAATAACGTACATAATTCACTAGCTGTAAGATTTAATGCCTGCCCTGCTCGGTTTCGGACTTGTTTAGAACCTGTTACTCCTTTCTTTTGGCCTATTACTCCCTTTTTGAATGGGAATGTGTACCCTATGCTTGTCCTGCCATTGTTATGTTGGAAGGAAATAAATTGTTTTTTTGTTTTTTTTTTTGTCTTTTTTGTGACCGTAAAGGGATCATCCGCACCACACTCAGCCAGGGAGCGCACAGGCCATCCCTATATAGGATCCAAACCCGCAACGGGAGCGCCACTGCGCTCCCAGCGCCGCACTCTCCCAAGTGAGCCATGGGGTTGGCCCGAAATAAATTGTTTTGACTTCACAAATGGGACCTTGAATTTTGCACTTTTGAAGTGAGCCACGGGGTTGGCCCGAAATAAATTGTTTTGACTTCACAAATGGGACCTTGAATTTTGCACTTTTGAGTTGAAACAAGTTAAGATTTGGGGGATGAGATGAATGTATTTGTATGTGAAAAGGACATGAGTTTTTGGAGGCCAGGGACAGAATGCAGTGGATTGAGTGGGCCCCCAAAAGTCGTTAAAGTTGAATACCCATTGTAACTGTTGAGGGTGGGAAATCCTATAACAGTAACTGAAAGGTGGGGCCTGGAAGAGGTGATTAGATTCTGATGACTATGCCCTAATGAATGGATTAATAATTATGGTCATAGGCATGGTTCTGAGGGCTTTAAAAGGAGAGCACATGAAGAGCTTCTCTCTCTCTGCACCGACATTTTCTGCCATGTGGGACCCCTGCATTGCTGTAAAGCCACCACCAAAGAAGGCCCTCACCAAGTGTCTTTGGACTTCCCAGCCTCAGAAACTATAAGCAATAAATTTCGTTTGCTTACAAACCAGTTCCAGATATTTTGTTATAAGCAACAGAAACAGACTAATACTGTGAGTGTGTGTGTATTTCTGTATGCTATAAATATATATATGCTATATATGCACGTGCATGCAGTAATTTATAATAAAAAAATCTTAACTTACATAGACTTGCAGAAACAATAAGTTGATTCATTTTCAAGAAATGTATATTGTGCAAATAATTGGTGCCAGCTACTGTGCTGGGAAACAAAAGTCTCACAATCTGCCACAGTCAACAGATGTGTAAACAAACCACAAATTTTTCACTGGGAGCATTAACAAGTATACAGTCAAGTGGAGCTAAGAGTCATCTTAAGAAAATGAATTTAAAATAAGAAAAAAGTATAAAAATAAAAAAGTGGAGGTAGTATGGTGGATGAACAACGGACCATCACGATGGTTTTGCCATCATGATTTTCCAGTTTTGCAAACAAGAATCCTAGGATTCGTCCTTGACCACACCTTTTCACTCATTCCTACCTACCCCACGTGGCTATTTGATCTTCAAGACCTTTCAATTTTATCCAGTAAAAAGCTTTTAAACCTATTCCTTCGCTCCAACTCCATTTATCCTAATCCAAGTGACCTTTAATTCATACCCAGAACACAGTGGTACCCTCTTAATTGTTATGCCCACATTGACAACATTTCCCACACTAGAGCCAAAGTGAGCTCTTCACACTACTTTGCCAGCCCCTTACAAGGTTCTGCATGATCTCAGCCCTTCACACTTCTTTAGCCACATGGCCTTCTTTAAACTGCTCATAGGTGCTATCTTCTCTCCTGTCAAGTTATTTGTTCTACCTGGAATGACTCTTACTCAATTTTCAGATCTCAGCTCAATCAGCCTTTCTCCAGAAAATCTTCCCTGACTGGGGCAGGTCCCTCCACTACACACTCTTGTAACCTTATGCTTCTTTCCATTATAGCATGCATCTGAGTTCATTATTATGGGTTTATTTATGTACTTATTTGATTAATATCTAGCTCCACCTCTAGATTAGAACTCAATGAAAAGGGAAGGTTTTTGCTCATCACTGTTTCCAAGCATAAGCACTGTCCCAGTGACAGAGGCACTAAATAAGTAGAATAAAAGGGTAAATGGGTAATGTTAAGATATAGTTCTTTGCAGTAGGTTTAATCACATAGTCCATGCTACCAAGTTGCACCTGTCAAGAAACGGCACAGTCCAAGAAATGTTTCCACAAGGTGTTTTCTAATGCATTTGGTTCTGTTCTCTCTTTATCTTACACTGTAATAAGCAATAGCTACAGATGAGTATCCTAACACAAACTTTGAGCACCCAATTCTAAAAAACGGCACAGTCCAAGAAATGTTTCCACAAGGTGTTTTCTAATGCATTTGGTTCTGTTCTCTCTTTATCTTATACTGTAATAAGCAATAGCTACAGATGAGTATCCTAACACAAACTTTGAGCACCCAATTCTAAAACTAGCAAAACAAAGATGTCAAAATCAGAAACTTTCCCTAGTCTTTTTCTAATTAATTTAGATACCCAAGTCAGCAAAAGAAAAAAATTCAGCTCTGCGGAGAAATTTTAAGAAGCAGGAAAGAAACATGTCCATAAAACTAATACTTCAGAAATCTTTAGTGAATACATGAAGTATGGAATTTCTTACTTCACAGATAGTGGCTCCATGAATATTTCAGCAATCAGAAAAACAATACGGTGGGAAAATCAATAGGTCAAGCACACAAGGACTAACTTGTTCATACTAAACCAAACTTAGCAAAATAGAAAGTAGCTAACTTAGCAGGGTTTACAGAAGAGTGAGCCACCTGAACAAAGAAGAAAACAAAACATACCCAACTAAACTCACTTTGAAATGTTCTGCAACATATAAACCTCCATAACAAAATTCAAAATAAATGTATTATGATGATTCATACATTGAAAATAAAATAGTTTGCTAGGTTTAAAAAAAAAATCAGTACAAAGTTATTGATGATCGAATTCTTGGTTAAAATAGAGCCATAAAATTCAAGTGTTAGTCATTTATACAGAAATGTAAGGAAATGCTTCATACAAATTATAGAATGGTACAAAGTACCTGGACTACATCATCAGTCTCTGGAACAAACCGGACACCAATTCTGGATCTAATTCGTTTAATACCCTGTGGATCCCCATAGTCCTTCAGAGGTGAGGTAGGTGGAAAACGATGGCTCTCTTTACAACGGAAAGAAAAGAGAGGGGATTAAAACACTGCATGAGAAGGAACAATATAAAATTTCACTCAGTAAATGCATACCACTTGTGGATATACACACATGTCCTTAACCCAGAGTATTTCACAAATATTTTGTTGTGAACATAAAGTCCCACAACACTGACAGTGATCTTGCTCTTAAAGCAGATAAAATGAACAACAGAAGTAACCTAGGAATAGAACACATCAAAAGTTCCAATTTTCTATACTTTCCAAAGAAGCAATATTTAATCATATAAAATTAATAAATTACTAAATAAAAAAGCTTATATGGCTTACTAACATAATACTAATAAAACACAGTTTTTCAAATGAACTAAAATCTGAACAGTGTATAAAAATCAATAAAAACCAGCTAACTACATTAAAAAATAGATAATATTGTCCAATTTTTAATCATTATCATGAACAACAGCAATATTAACAATGTGAGGTACTGGTGTTTGATCTATCTAAATCATTTCCCTTCACTGCAGATTTTCCTTTTCAATTCAAACATGAATCTCAGTGCTACAGAAACATAAGTAAGACTACTTACAAGCAAACTAACTGTTATGACCTTTAGCCACTGACATCCAGATGCACACCCAAGCTAAAATTCACCTGTTCTTACCAAGTGTCATACGATATTTCTTAATAAGACATTTGAAAAACAATGCTAGCACAAGACTTCTAACCCAGAAAGTATACCAAGTAGTAAATCTTATTTGTGTGTTTGTTTTGATTATTTGGCACCAGAGAATTAAATCCAAGTTTTGTCAGGTAAAGCTCTTTGTGGTGTACAGAGTCTGAGAAAAACAAAACTAACAGAAAAACAAAACTAACAGAATAACAAAGACCCTTAAATATATTTCAAAATATGCACTATAAAATCCCTGACAACTGCATGTTCTAACACTTTAGCTATATGATATGCATGGGTTGTATTTCTCCAAAGATTAAGTGTATTTAATAGGTACTTCAGAAATATTTTTAAAACAAACAAAAGGGTTTTCAAAACATTTAAGGAGTTTACCTGTCACGGTGCCACCATCGAGGTCACTTGCAGTCAGACTTGTAGCAGAAACACTCCTCCCCCCTGAGTTTCTCAGTAAACGTTGACTCCGCAGATGATCTATTGACTGTTCCAAGCTTTCTTTTAACTAGTTTAAAGAATATAATGAAAAGGGAATTATTCTTTTTAAGAACTTCCAAATACAAATGACTGCTCCTATGAAACAATATACACTGCCCAACTCTATATAAGAACACCACTTTCATTCATTCAAAGACTTTAAATCCCAGAAAACTATGGGGTCAGATGTCAGACTGTCAGTACATACTGAGGATTACAGTTGTCCAAATGCTCTCAAGATTATTAGGGAGTCAGCCTGCAGGGGACATAAGAAAACACCTCCTTAGACCTAAATGGCTACATTAAATAAAAACACGCTAAATACTGAGAATAATGTCCAGAGCTGTACACAGGTATACACCTGAGAAGAGGATTCAACTAAGATCCAAGGGAACAAAGAGTAAAGCTGAGGAAAACCCACACACCCTGAATGGCTGGAAAACTTCAGGTCTAGATATCTTTCTTACTCAAGGATGAATAAAAACTAACGATTAAAAACAAAACAAAAATTAAAAACAATAATGCGTAGATCAATGGAACAAGTCATCTATAACTCTTTAAACAGAATGTCAACAAAACAATTGATTTGAGGAAATAGGGTTTTCTAAATTCGGCCAGGGTTAAAAGGTAGAATACCATTTATGGAAAGAACAAGTTTTAAATGGTATCTGTCACTACTTATTCTATCTTATATTTCTTGGGGAAATGTGCAAAAAGTAAGTAGCTTCAGTTGAAAGAAAAACACAAATGACACAGAATATGAGCCACAAATTAAGAAAATCCTTTTTCATTTCAAGCACTTGGATTTCTGGAAGTCCAAGGTTAAAACAATCTGGATTAAAAGAGGTAGAATGAAAGTTTCAGGAATCTACCCCTTTTGTCCCTCTCATTTTGGCAGGAGAGGAGAGGGAAGGTTAATATTTCCACATCCTTCTGTCCCCTGCTTCCCTAAAGGGATATGTACAATACCGTCCTGCCTTAGGACTCGCCAGCCATAGGACCCAGCCTATCAGTCCATGGAAACATACATATGAAGCCCGGAGAATCAAAGTCTACCTTGGGAGTTATTTACACTTAAGTAAAATAACATGTAAGTACATCAGAGGTCTTATACAGTGAACAAAAAGTAGTGTGTCAGTAATCCATGACAAAATGCTTAGAATAAAATTAAACAATGTTAAAACTAAAAAGCTCAAATCCTAACTGTAACATGAGAAAAGGACTAGAAATGTAAAGTGACTTTAGATCACACAAATTAGTGACACAAGAATAATATAAAACCAGGTCTTGTAACTTTTCTTGTGTTTACCTTTATTAGTCACATCTTGCAAGCTAAGTCTGTTTTCAGTTAGAAGCAAAGGAAGCTGTCATTTTTTTACTATTGCTTCTTTCTGAAGGTAATCTGGCTATTTTTAAGATTATATCTTTAATTCTGTCTATATTTAACTTTTTACTGGGATATGACTATGTGAAGTTTTATTTGCATTTATCCCATTTTTGACCCATAGAGATCATAGAATCTACGGCCTGATATCTTTCACATGTTGTGAATTTTCAGCCATCACCTTTTCAAACATTGTTTCTGCTCCCATTCTCTCTCCCCTCTCCTTGTGGATATCCAATTGCATTTAAGTTATACCTTTTTACCAAATCCTGTATGTCTCCTATTCTCTTTTCTATATTTCTCATCCTTTCATTCTTTTGTTCTTCCTTTTGGATATCTTATGATGGCCTATCTTTCAATTTATTAGTTCTCTTTATAGTTATACACAAGCTACTGTTTAATCCATCCATTAAGGGTTGGTTAGTTTTTATGTAGGTTATCTTATTTTTCAGTGTCTAGAATTTTCATTTGGTCCTTTTTTAGTTTTCATTTCTCTGCAAAAATTCTCAATCCTGTCTTAATTTCTTGAACATATTAATCACAGTTGCTTTATAGTTCCATGTATGTTTCTATTGTCAGCTTTTTCCCATTGGTTTTTAGTCCCCTTTCATATTCTCTTATACCTGCACATTTTTTTTTATCATGGGGTAGACATTGTACATGAAAAAGTGTAGAATAATTTATAGCTCTGGAGGATGACACCTTCCTTCAGAAGGGATTTGGTTTTGATTCTAGCAGGAAGTCAGGCTAGGGTCATTAGCAATCCCAGATCACCTTAATCCAGTTAGGAATTGAGATTATTCAAAGATAGATTTTTATCCCCATGAGGGCTGGTATATTTTCAATGCATCACATCTCTTATTTTCAATTTACCATTTCTCCTAGGCTATACTCTTTGGGGGTCTCAATTAAAAGCTGAAGGATTCCTGAACTTCAGTTTTGGTCTTGCTAGTCTTTTGAGTTCACTGAAAGTTCTGATCCTAGCCTCTCTGCTTCTAAACCACCTCTTCTGGAATCTGCTGTCATTTTGAAGGAAGAAAAGAATCCCAAATACAGGACCTCCTTTTTTTTTTTCCCAGATCCTGACTACAAAATTCTTCACTGCCTTAGTAGTTCTCTGATCAGTTATAATATTATATTTTAGATTTTTTTCACCTTTCTAGTTGTTCTCAGTAGGAGAGTTGATCCAAAATAATCTTATCCACCAATGTCAAAAGCAGAACGAGCTAGCATCCTTTTTACGTGGGTTTATCTGCTAACAAATCCTAAGTTGTAACTAAAAGCTGATGAATAAAATTTTCACACACACACACACTCTCCCTACCACAAAAAAAAAGCCACAATGGAACATATAGGAACATAAAGAAATATACCTCAGAACAAGAGAAATAAAACATTACAAATCTAAGATAAATAAAAGATGTTGGAAAAATTAATCATTTCAGAAATAGCATAAAAGTTAGAAACAATACTTGGCAACCTCATTTTAAAGCTCTATAAAGATACATCCTAAGCCATTGGAGATGAACAAGATGATCTATAAAGTACAAAAGATGAAACACAAAAGGTAGATAAGTGAAATAAGGACTACTTTAAATTACTCCTACAAGCATCACGGCAAAAACAGGTCCTCCACGTAAGACATAATACTAAAAATGTATAGAATTAAAATCTGCACTTAGAGTAATAATAACAAAACAGACACTGCACTAATCATGAAACCAGTTAGATAACTCCTAAAACACAAAAGGAGATAAAGAAATAAGACATAAAGTCATAAACTTGTTTTAAACTCTTCAGAACTGTAACTCCTAACTAGGTGCGAACTCCTAAAATTAAATAAAAACAAAACAACACTAATAAAATTCAATTTAACATTAATTTTTATGATAGATGATGCTATTTCGCTGAAACTAAATCAATGCTCAACCTAAGACTGCAGTGCTTACAATGGTACAGATTCTTTTGAGTCTAGTATGACTACCTCACCACATACCAAGTGATGATTCCATTTTCCCCCCACTTTTCCCTATCTGAAACACTGCAAAATGGACATCATACTGTGACATATTTTCACCGCAACTTGATGTAAATGCATCATTTACAAATTAGGTCTATTCTTTTACCTCTGTTCTTTTGATATTAGACTAAAACAACTGAAGAATCACTATTAGCACCAGTATGAATGCAAATAAAACTTGGGCACAAAAACTGAATGGCAATACTTGTTTATAAGGTAGTTTATCCAAATCATCAAGACATGTTTTTAGACTTAGGAATCAAGTTGAGTAGGCTCCCTTTAGCCAAGGATCAAACAATTTGAGCATCAATAAAAATATTAAATGCAATGAATTAAAATACTTCAAATATGCATATAATTGTGAGTTTATAATGATACTCAAGAGGGAAAAGGTCGTTGGTCACCAATAGAGGATGCAAGAGAACAAACTCATTATTTTAGAAACTGGTAAATAAATAAAATGAAAAAAAACTATGGAAGCTTTTAGAGTATCATTAAAATAAAGATACCAAATTTTTAAGTTCTCATCAAGATATCTGACAACGCTGTAATGTCTCTATTTGGAAAAACTCTTTTAGAAACAAAATATAAGTCAAGGTTAAGGAGTTTTTTAAAAGGTTTATAAAACTTGAAAGAACTGACTACGTTGCAACCCAAATCTATGAAAGGAGATCAACTGGGCAACAATGGCTGTTCCAAATAAGAGGCATGATCATTAAAAACATCATGATTCAGAAGAACCCCAGGGCAGCTTGGCAGTGCTTTCCTCAGCTCCACTACTTTTGCATCTGCTGCTGCTCCTGTCCACGTCTTTCAAACCCACCGGATAGTAATAACTTTTTCACGTGTTTTATTTGGAGGATGAAATAAGACTATGTAAAATAATTAGAACAATGTCTGGGGCAGATTAGGTTGTTCGGTCAATGGTAGTTTTTATTATTATGATTAAAGGTAATGACTATAAAAACAAAAAATAAATGGAATAAAGAAATGGGATGCTTTAATCTGAATAAGCTATTTGGAAGTTTCTCATTCCCTAAAAATGACTTCGCTAAATTCCACTGGCTGCATATTTAGAAACTCCTGAAAGGGGCAATATCAATATTCCCTCTGTCAACATTATTTCTTCTGTAACTCCACATATGAGGGGTCTTCAAAAATTCATGGAAAGATTTGTATTATCTGTTAATTCTATTTTTCCACAAACATTTGAAGTATCCTCAATAATATGATTCAAATTTCATTTCCAGCAACCAAATTTTTAAGTTCTCATCGAGATATCTGACAACGCTGTAATGTCTCTATTTGGAAAAACTCTTTTTAGAAACAAAATATAAGTCAAGGTTAAGGAGTTTTTTAAAAGGTATATAAAACTTGAAAGAACTGACTACGTTGCAACCCAAATCTATGAAAGGAGATCAACTAGGCAACAACGGCTGTTCCAAATAAGAGGCATGATCATTAAAAACATCATGATTCAGAAGAACCCCAGGGCACTGCCGGACACGAAAAAAAAAAAAGACAAAAAAAAAAAACAAATTTCATTTTCAGCATTATCACCTTTTATTTCTTTGCTGCACTTTTATCTTTGTTAGCCAATTCCCTTTCTGATTACTTATTTTTG